TGTCCGCTGGGGAGGAACATCTTCGACAGGCTCGCTTGCCCACTGGCTCACCGGAAATGTTGAGGTGTCGGTCATGTAGTGGGAGTCCAGATACAAAACAAGCTTCGCTATCTTCTCGCCCTGTGGTTTGCGCTCCTTCATATCTGCCCAGGCCAGCTTGCATTCTTCAACTGATAGGCACGGTAATCCAATCACACTTCGGAGCCACCTCCCAGTAGGTGTACGGACATTCTCAGAGGCCCAGTACTCAGAAGCCAAACCTTCACTCTGGTATGCACGTATCCACGATTTGGACAAATGGAACAAACAGCCTCTCAACCTTTCCGGATCTATTTCCCATACCCTCAGAATGGCCTGACGCATGCCGAGTTCATAATCAGTAATTATGTACAAAGTAGATATGATCTGGAATAACCCTTTACCAGTGAGCACATCTCGGAGCTTCAGCAGGGCCCTCTCATACTCTTCCTGGGTCTTCCGCGCCATTAGAATGAAAACCGCCGGAATGTAGTACCCCTGTTTCTCGATAAGAATGACCCACAATTGCTGCCATCCTTTGGGCGCCACGGCAAATGTAGCATCAAAAATAAGACCACTGCTACCATTTAATGCGTTGAGATTGCGGTCTGCAGCCCATATGATCATTGGCCGACCGGCATCGGCATGTAAGAGAAGTCGTTGATCATTTCCCCTACACTTGTCAACGTCTCGCTGCACCAAACTAACGAAATCCTGATAATAGCCAGCTCTATCCAGATCGAGGCTCCTCAGCACAGCCGGTTGTCCTTGCGCCCTGGCAGCGCGATAGGCTACCTGCTCGAGGTTCCGCTGGTCCCGCAACGTCGTGTTGGCCAAACCGCCGTCAGCAATGATACCTTCGACTAGCCCATCAGTTCTTCCATTGTTGGCCACTTCTGCCTGGATTCGTCGCCTCTGACGAGTCTGCGTCTCCCTTCTCTCATCGGGTTCTCTGTCGCACTCCGCTCCATGCTCACTTGGCCTCCTTGTGAAATACAGCCGGCCGTTGCGTTCTTGCACCGTGAAGGAAGCATAACACTTTTTGGAACAGCACTCATATCGACTCTTGGAATCTTCCAATCCCTTCTTAAACCGATACTGTTGTTTGTTTATCCATATGCTAGGCTTGTTCTTGTTGGTGGACGATATCCATCCCTCAGGTATGGGTATGTCCCCATGGAGAACCTGTCAATGAATCGCAATGAAGTTATTTTCCGATATTGTTCGGTTACGATGAAAACTTACCCCCTCGGCATCATCTTCACTCTCATTGACACTCTCTACTTCGGCTGCTGCTCCAGCAGCTCCAGCCTCCATTGGTACACCTTGTGGAGCAGGAGGGGCTTGAGCAGGAAGGGCTTGAGCAGGAGGGGCTTGAGCAGGAGCAGCTTGAGCAGGAGGGGCTTGAGCAGGAGGGGCTTGAGCAGGAGGGGCTTGAGCAGGAGGGGCTTGAGCAGGAGGGGCTTGAGCAGGAGGGGCTTGAGCAGGAGGGGCTTGAGCAGGAGCAGCTTGAGCAGGAGGGGCTTGAGCAGGAGGGGCTTGAGCAGGAGGGGCTTGAGCAGGAGGGGCTTGAGCAGGAGCAGCTTGAGCAGGAGGGGCTTGAGCAGGAGGGGCTTGGGGAACAGGGGCTTCTTCTCCATAATCGACAAGGCCATCATCGGTTAAACGAAGGAGAGGAACACGTTGGAGTAGATGTGGGGCATATTGATGCACGGCCTGGTAGGCAGACAGTGTGTGTGGCAGATTCCGTTGAATCCTTATTGCGTCCGCTGCCTCGTACAAGCCTGCATAGGACCAAATATAAGACTGAAGTGCACCACGAGTAAGCCCGAAAGGGTGTGAAGTAGCAGAACACATTGATCTTCAGTCACTGGGCATCGC